CGGGCATACGGCCGAGATCCCACTGAGCTGAGGAGGAGGCTCTGGTGGGGGGAGCATGGCCGGAGGATCCCCCTGAGGGGGTATGGCCGGCACCCTCTGAGCTGGGGGGGAGCATGGCCGGGATGGGATCCCTGAGCTGAGGAGAGAATTGGGGTGAGAGACGTTCAGGGGATCCCCCTGGAGCTGAGGGGAGGATTGGGATGGGGGACAGCCCGGATCCCCCCGAGCTGAAAGGGAGAATTGGGATGGGAGTAATCCGGGGGATCCCCCTGAGCTGAAGGGGAGGGTCTGGGGGGAGAACAACCGGAATCGCTGTGAGGGGAGGGGGATTAGGATGGGGGGACAGCCTGGATTCCCCTGAGCTTGAGGGGAGGCTCTTGGGGAAAACAGCCGGGATCCCCCTGAACTGAGGTGGAGGATTGGGATGGGAGTAATCCAGGGGATTGGCCTGAGGGGGTATGGCCGGTACCCCCTGAGCTGAGGGGAGGCTCTGGGGGGAGAACAGCCGGGATCCCCCTGAGCTGAGGGGAGGATTGGGATGAGGGACAGCCGGGATCCCCCTGAGCTGAGGGGAGGATTGGGATGAGGGACAGCCGGGATCCCCCTGAGCTGAAGGGGAGCTCTAGAAGAAGCAGGGCCGGGATGGGATCAGGGTGCCACGGCCGGGACCCCCGACCGCCGCGGGTTCAGAGCTGCGGCTGGCCGGGCTCTGTGTGCTCCGGAGCCGCTGGGGTCTCACTCGGTGTGTCCCTCACCACAGAGCCGCCATGGCCCTGCCGGAGTGGCACATCGCCGTGAAGCTGGCGGAGCAGCCGCTGGCCCCCAAATCCATCCTGCGCCTGCCGGAGACCGAGCTGGGCGAGTGCCCGCTGGGCGGCTGCAGCATCTCGCACCTCAAGCAGCTCATCGCGGGCAAGCTGCAGGAATCCATGCCGGACCCCGAGCTCATCGGTGCGTGTCCCGCCGCTTGGGGACACCCTCGGCCCGTCCTCCCACCGCATCCTGCTGGCTGCTGCTGCTGCTGCTGGGGAGGGTTCGGTGTTCCTTCTCTGTTTGCTTGGGGTCACGGTGCTCCAGCCGCGGCAGTGCCCTTGGTAGGGAATATTTGGGCTTCCCACCGTCTCCGTGTTCTTGTGAGATGTCTCATGAGAACTGAGAGAGAGGTCAGCTCTTACACGGGAGGTGATTCTGTCACCTCCTCCAGATGAGCTCTGTGATTTCCCTCCCGATTCTCAGCTCCATGGCTTCCCTGTGTTGTTCCCTAGCCAGCTGGAGCAGCTCCAGCTGCTCAATAACCCCCGGGGCTCTAAGCCACAGCCGGAGACCCTGAGCTCGTGGCACAGGTTTATCTTCAGGTGTTTCTCCCCCCAGACCTGATCTACTGTGGCCGGAAGCTGAGGGATGACCAGACGCTGGATTTTTATGGAATCCAGTCTGGCTCCACTGTCCATGTCCTGCGTAAATCCTGGCCTGAGCCTGACCAGAAACCAGGTGAGGAACGGTGGGGATTACCCTTTGGATTCTGCTTGGGATGTGCTTTATTAGGGGCTGAGGAACAGCTCTGGAGGTTCTCAGGGGAATGAATCCCCTTGTTTGGGAAGTCCCCACCTCTCCCAGCAGCACCTGGGTGTTAATTTCCTGCTGACAGAAGAGTTAAGGAATGAGCTGTGCAGCATGGAGAGGGATCATCCCTTCCTTAATTGCCTGTGATGCATTTTAGGGCATTGCCAGGCAATCTGGAGCAAAGCCCCAGGGATGAGCGAGCTGCTGTGTGCTCCTGCTGTGCCTGACTGTACAAAAAAGAGGAATTGGAGTTGGCATTCCTGTAATGGCACGTGTGGGAGGATATTCCTGGCTATTTTTATGATCTGAGAGTGCAGCAAGTCGTTACTCTGCAGTGACTGCACCCAATCCAAGGCTGTTAAAGGATCCCTGTTGCAGTGTGGAAGCCTCAGTGGGATGTGAAATGGCTCTGGGGGCTGACAGAGGCTGAGCTGTGTTTTGTTGTGGCGTTTTCTCCCCTCAGAGCCCGTGGATAAGGTGGCAGCAGTCCGGGAATTCCGTGTCCTGCACACTGCCCTGCACAGCAGCCCTGCCTACAGAGATGCTGTGAGTGCTCTGCTCCTGGGGGGGAAATTCAGCTGTCCCCTCCCTCTGGGGACAATCCCACGGTGGGTGACATTCCTGATCTGCTCTGCTTTCCCTGGCAGGTCTTCAAGATGCTGGGAAACAAGGAATCCCTGGATCAGATCATTGTGGCTACTCCCGGCCTCAGCAGTGACCCCGTGGCTCTGGGTGAGTGTGGCTGTGTTTGATTCCTCAGGGGGGGAAGGGAGACACCCAAATCTAGGTTGAATTCCTCCTGATAGGGAGAAGGGAGAGTAAAATAAAAACAAAAAAAACCCTGGTTTTTGTCTCTTTTTGTACCATGAGAGTCAATGACTGCTCAGGTGTCAGTTGTGCTCCATTGGTGATGTCTGGGATGGATCCTGGCTTCAGGAGGGTCAGGGAACAGAGGGGATGGATGATTTCTCCTGGGGGATGGATCCTGGCTTCAGGAGGGTCAGGGAACAGAGGGGATGGATGATTTCTCCTGGGGGATGGATCCTGGCTTCAGGAGGATTAAGAAAAGGAGGGATGGAGCTCTCTCTCTGCTGCAAAGTGCTATGAAGTGGTTTATTAAATCCAGCCTGTTCTGGGATGGTGGCAGCGTGAGGCAGATGGAATTTGGGATGCTACCAAATGGCTCATTAAATCCAGCCTGTTCTGGGATGGTGCCAGTCCGAGGCAGGTGGAATTTGGGAAGCAGTCACAGCCTGGCTGCAGGGAGTTGGGGGCCCTTGAGGTGGAGCACCCACAGGATCTGGTGGAAAAAAGCCAAAACAAGTCCCTTGGGTGTGTGGCTGTGACCTAGAGCCTCTCCAGGAACACAAAGGCTTCAAAGGAACAATGGCAGTATTTGTGGTGTTTACTCATGAGTCACTTCCTGAAAAACAATTCCTATTTGTCCCTGTGGCTTTTGTGTGACTGGCTCCTGTTTGCTGTATCCTGTCTCACTGGGTTTCCTGGTCTTTTCCAGGAGTTCTGCAGGACAAGGATCTGTTTTCCGTGTTTGCAGACCCAAATATGCTGGACACGTAAGTTCCCTGAGTGACTTAGCAGTGTCCCCAGTGTCACCTGGGTGGGACACCCCTCCCTGAGCAGCAGGAAGCAGGGATCCACCAGCTGGGTTAGTGCAGGGGGTGCCTGGGGGGAGGCAGGGCCACCATCACCTCCACATTGGGGTTCACACCTGGAGGGAGCTGCTCAGCCAGAGAGCAACATGGGAAAGCCAGCATGGGTCCAGAAGGATCCTTGGAGAACCAGAGAAAGGTCCAAGATGGGTCCAGAAGGATCCTTGGAGAACCAGAGAAAGGTCCAACATGGGTTGAGAAAGATCCAAGGCCAGGTCCAACATGGATCCAGAAGGATTCTTGGAGAACCAAGGAAAGATCCCAGATGGATTCAGAAGGATCCAAGGCCAGGTCTCCAGGGTGGATCCAGAAGGATCCTTGGTGAATCAAGGAAATGTCCAACATGGGTCCAGAAGGATCCAAGCCCAGGTCTCCAATGTGGACTCAGAAGGATCCTTGGAGAGCCAAGGCCAGGTCCCAGATGGATCCAGAAGGATCCCTGGAGA